CCTGAGGACGCGTTTGGGCTGTCGAGACGGTCGCTCTCTCTTCGGTGTCAAGCCGACGGTGAGCCTCCTCCACTTATTATTTGGTACAAGGATGGTCAACAGGTCCAATCTATACGCGAAAGACCTGGTACTTCTAAAAAGATGACCAAATCCGGAGAACTAATGTTCCTCTCTTTTGAACCAGAGGATGAGGGTACCTATTACTGCAACGCCTCCAATTCAGAAGGATGGACAAAGTCAAAGTACGCAAAAGTTTCGCTTGCTTACTTGGATCCAATCACTGACGGACCGCAAAATCAAGTGACTAGTGTTGGAGAAAGTGTGATAATGCAGTGTAAAATTCCCCGTGGTCTTCCAACCCCCATTATTACTTGGTTTCATAATACAGAACCTGTTCAGAGCTCAAAGCGTATCACCTTTGTTGACGGGAACTTGCATATAGCGGACGTTCAACGCAGGGATGCTGGCACTTACCAATGCGAGGTGCGAAATCGTGCAGGTCGACGTGAAAGTCAGTCGGCTGTTCTAACTGTCCACCAAAAGCCACGGTTTGAGATAACTCCATCTAACCAACAGGTGAAAGTTGGGGAAGACGTTGAGTTTGTGTGCCGTGTTAATGGTGATCCCAAGCCTTCAATTTTGTGGCGACGAGAAAACGGTCACCATATCCCTGAAGACCGTAGCGTTCTGCGTGACGACAAGAGTCTTCGTATATTCCAGGTTCGGCGTGATGACGCCGGAACGTATGTATGTCAGGCCAAGAACGAGGCTGGGAGCGTTGATGCTTCGGCGAAATTGGTCGTTCTTTCCCCTCCTAGTTTCACAATAACACCATCCGACACTACTGTCGCGGAAGGCGAAAAGGCTGTTTTTAATTGCCAGGCCAACGGTTCACCACGCCCTTACATAAGGTGGGTCCACAATGGCGAATACTTCCTCTTCCCAGACTTTAGGAGTCCCCATCTCGTTGGAAAACCACGGGTATTTGTTGACCATGAAGGCAGTCTGGTCGTTACGTCAGCGCGCAAGTCTGACGAGGGGAAGTACGAATGTCGAGCTTCACACAAAACTGGGATGGTCAGGTCCTCAGCCAATTTATTTGTCAGTGATTCCAACCCTCCTCCAATAATTGTTATCGAACTGGGACCCCAGAATCAAACGGTCCTTCTCGGAACGACTGCGACTCTGCGCTGTGAGGCCCATTTACTCGGTGCTGCTGGTCTTCTTGAGGGATTGCAGCAGGATTCGTACGGCGTAAGCGTCTCCTGGTCAAAGAATGGATTTAAGTTTATGGCAGACAATGACCCCAGAATCGTGTTGCTCTCCCAGGGTACTTTGCAAATCAATGATATCAATTTTTCTGATCAAGGCAATTACACATGTCGAGCAGAGACAACACCTGTTTTCACCGATCAGCATCAGTTTTATCCCACTGAATGGACGGCTAGTCTGCACGTATCACGGGCAACGCTTCATTCCACATATCAGCCTTCTATCGTGGAAAACTTACCCAGACCGCCTACCGCCGTAGACATCGTCGACGTTGGCGACACGTGGATCTCACTGAAGTGCACAGTTTCTGCTCTTCCCGTAGTTCCAGTCTTTGACGACATCCAAAACGACCAGCCTTTGAACGAATTCGGTCTTTCCATTCCCTCTACCCAAGTTGTTGAGCGCACGCGAGTGCGTATAGAGTACATCGGGATCGACGGTGACCACGGTTGGATTGTCGCGGCAGAAGCCCGCCCAGACGAGACAGTTAAAATAGCCGGTCTACATCCTGAAAGCGGTTATCGAATCCTCGCGCGAACTGTTAGCCCACGTGGCGTTGGCAGGCCCTATGTCCTTCCTCACACCGTCTATACAAAGAAGCGACACCGCTATGTCAACTTCACCAACTACCCGACCGACCACATCAACTCGGTCACATTCAGTGCACCCAAACTCACAAGCCTTTCGACGTCGGAAGTTGAACTCTCGGGTCGCGTGTGTGGTGCTGCCAACGCAATCGCTCTGCTGACAGGAATTCGTGTGCGCTACCGACCTGTGCCGCTGGCGCGTTGTCTACTCCCCGATCGACCTAGCGTGCGGGGTCCCGCCGACCTCTGTCCCAACTACGTGTCTCCGTCCTTCGAAGATGATTTGTCCTATGCAAACGAGGGCATCACATCGCTGTCAGAGGACTATTGTAGTCTACAACTTCTGCCAGAAAAAACACTCGACTATTCCCTGTTGGGAGGAGGAGGAGGAGGAGGCGGCGGCGGAGGCCAACTCCCACCATCTAATCAGTTAGAGCACTTCCGTTTCATGGAGCTTAATCTCGTTGACTCAGCGCCCTTCCGAATGGTGCTGGATAACCTCAATCCCTTCGTGTGCTACGAGGTCGAAGTGGATGCCTACTCGGAAGACCGGACTTTGGGACGGGTGTACAGCCAGGGGAGCCGCGCTTCCACGGTCCTCACCTTCGATAGCACACCCAGTCAAGCCCCCCAGGATGTCAAAACGCGGTGGGTCGGTGAGAATTACGAGGTTCTCGAAATCGTCTGGTCCCCGCCTCCGGCATGGTCCACAAACGGCTTCATAACCGGCTTCTCAATTCGACTTCTCGGCAAGGAATCCGAGCAAAGGAAGACCCTAAGGGTGAGTGCATCTCTCTTTCGTGCATTTTGGGTCAAATTAAAACTTGGAATGACTTTTTGAGATTTTAGTTAGCGGAGCAGAGACACTGGCGATTTCTGCTTTGTAAAGCTTTCGATGTTGTGCCTCCAGAGCACCAGTGTGGTTCGAAGTTTTCAACCTAACCGGCCACACTTCGTTGGGGTGGGGAGGGGGGTGCTGGACTGCTTCACAAAAGTCGAATGAATCATGCGTGTGCGCCTGTGCACGCGCATATTCACGTCCGATTCCGGTCACTCCGTTGGTGGGGGAAGTTTACTACGGACATGTAAGTGGGCCGCGTATTGTTCGTCGTATGACACGGGCCTCATGTATGTGTGCGCTTGTGCGTCCGTCATATTCGTATGCCGAAACAGGTCCCACTACCTGAATCTGCGTCTTTTCGTGGTGGTGCGATCGCAGCGCACTCACGTTCTCCTCGCGCCCACTCGCCACCACGTTAATTTGGTTCTTGGTTTTGCTGTTGATCTCTGGTTACGAGTCGCTAGTCCGAGTCTCGTCTGAATGGCGATCCTGTCAAGTTCAAACTTGTCGACAGTGGTCCACCATGGTCTTAGGCCTAAAACTTCCTACTTTTTCTAAACCCAGAACCTACCCCCTAGGTGATCTCGCAACTTGTAATTAGCGTTTAACGTGGACGCATATCTCGGCTAGTTTGAGGGGGATTTTCCTGGGTCTCTTGAGTTGTGTAGTGTTTGGGGGTCAGTTGTTTTCCACAGTGTTGTCAAACGCTTGTGTGACATTTTCACACCAGTCAGCCTGTAATTACTCCCTCAGTGACACCTCTTAGCCTAACTTACTGTCTGGGGCATCCCTCGCCTCATTCCATACTCCACAATGCCAAATCTGGTTTTTCCCTTGCTGTTGGCACGGGCGAAGCACGCTTTGGGCCGGAGTGCTTTTAGTCTACTCAAACGCTCAAGCCAGACAAAAGCGCCACTTATCATCACAGCTGGCCCCTTGGAAGGGTGTGTGTGCGCAAATGTGTGTGTGGAGGGGGAGGTGTTGATGCATGGTTTGTCCCCTCATTTGTATGAGCATGGCTCCGCGATCACGTTCGAAATAAATCTCTTGTGTGTGCGCGCACACACACACACATTTGCAACGTGCGGTGTTGTCGTCCAGGCTCTGGCCCGGTGCATGTTTATGTTTCGTTGGTGGGACGTATCGAAGCGCACACGCAACCTCGGATCCCACGCTAGCCCGACTTTGTCATGTAATCAATTCGTGTCCGCACACAGAACTTGCCAACCACATCTATATCACTATACTGTGTTTATATCCAAGTTAGATAACTGGAACTTGTAGCCTGTGAACGCAGAATCGTTCGGTCTGACGGGCCGTCCATATTTGATGCGACGACCGCTTGGTGATTGGTTGGTTGGTCTGAGAACCACACCAGGGCTTCTACAACTAGATCCACCTCATTCTGTAGCTCACTGGATGCGAGCGTAACCCTCTCAGTCGTGCCTCCACCAAGTAAAATGAGTCCTGGTTGGCTAGGCATCGTTTGTGCTTCACGCTGATGCCTCTTCTAACCTACACGTATTCACCAATGATAATTCACTCGTTTGTAAATCACTTCCAAGTTTGTTCGTTGTCGCCCAAGCACTGGAACGCCTCGCAGCCTGACCTCATCTTTTATGGTTTCTCGTCATTTTACTTGACCGCTCTACGCGAGTGAAGCGTATTTGACCTCCGTCGGTCTGCACTGCTTACGATGAGGGCCAAGTTGAACACGCACGCTGCACCACCACTGTGTGTTTACGACAGTGTGCCTTCACCGGCAATAAACGCGAAATGGGTTTAGTGGTCGGCCAGATGAGAGACTACTTGCGGATGGGTTTTACCGCCTCCATTGTGCTAGTTCCATGTAAGCCACGTCAAACTCTAGCCTTCTCGGATTCGGCTTTTCGATGTGTACACCGTCTGCAACTTCACTATGACCCAATTCCCAAGTGGGTGGGAAGGCAGTGTCATTTACAACTCACCTTTGATAACTGACTAGCGTTAACTACGGTTAAGGCTTGATAAATTAACTCCACTGGCTTATCTGTCAGTATTTTTGTAATCCAGTCACAGTTTTCATTCGATTTTGAGATATGCCACGTATCTGCTAAAGTACGTTACTTTCTGGCAGTTATCAAAAGAAACGGGACCGTCACAAGCTTATCAAAAGCGTTCATTATGAACAGGGAAACTTGATTCTGATTGATACCAAGGTACAACTTGACCGGCAATGGCGCCTCCGTTGTAAAATACCACTTCATTACAAATTCTCGTTGCCTCTACATAACTACGTCAATTCTGGACAAGACCCCTCGCGATTTGTTGGCGAAAGGCGCCTGAAGCCAAGTGTGGAGAACATTCATGAATTCGGATCGCAGTTTGGAGGTTAACGTGTTTCAAAGGACTTCAGAACATGGACGAGGTCGCTTCTTCTACATCGGCTTGTTACCTCAATGAACCTCGTGCTGAATGAAGCCTTAACAGTTCCACTAACTTGTTCCTCTGCCTCGGACGCAACTTTGATATTATTTTGTTTCAACTTCTTCTCCCGTAACTTTCTTCCCTTTTATTGGGAGCTGGCTTCGGGCAAAAACCTGTGCTATATCAACAATTTCTGAAAACGTTGCACCAGCCAATGACGAGTTAGTCTGGAATGATTTATGCTTCCCTTTGCAAATGTCGATGGTGAAATGACGGAAACAGGCGTGCTGCATTGTCTTGTTCCTCTCGCTTCCTCTCCCTCTCTCTCTCTCTCCTCTTTTTTCTACTGCACGAGCCCCTCTGATTCCCTCTCGCCGACCAATAAGCGCGCACCATGGTGCTCCTCTTTTTTTTCACCTGTCCTACGTCCGGTATTGCGGCATATAACCTTCAATCACCGTTATCCCTTCTCCTCCTCCTTCTCAAAGCTCTTGCTGCCTTTTTTCACTCACGATTACTTTCTGTGTGGGAAATGCTACGCACAGGAACGTTTTTTATCTTGATCACACATCCTCACTCCTGGTTGGCTATTTGATGCCGATCTAGTGTGTGTGTGACGCCAAGTTATTGAACGGCTGGCCCAGTTTAGCGTGGTGGCGGTGTGTGTGTGTGATTGAGCCACGCCCACAGGGGAGTCGTCGAGTCAGGCTCCCGTCGACCTGGCTATGACAACCGCCCGACACATGACTCATCCGCGCTGGTGACTAATCGCAGTTGCACGTGGTCGGCTGCGACCCTCCCTTCGTCGTCCCCTCTCCTGGCCGATCGACACTCGTGTCGTCCTGTCTACCCCCATACATTTATCATAGGTTTATTAATTACAAAGAAGACTCGCACGTGCACCGCTTGGCAACCAATTGGGTGGGTGGATGACGCAGCCATCACGACGTACACTCACTCCGCACATCAAACACACGCGTATCTTGTATGTGAAAACCGTGTGTGACGTTGCTGCGTGACCTTTTTGGACAACCGACATGTTGACACACCTAGTCACCCGTTGTTGACAGCTTTTACCACGGCTCTGCTCATGTCGAAGTCGTTACGCTGAATCGAACGCATTGATTGGACGTTCTGACATGGACAATGTCCGGGAATAGCATGGACGTATAGCAGTCTGCGATGTATTTTCGTTTTGTTTATTTAAACAAAGCGTCCTGGTGATTGTTCGGCGGCATTGTCCTGATTCGACGTTGTGCCACGTGCCTACGACCTTGATGCACATCGTGTGCAACCAAAACCCCTTCCGCCTTACGTTGTCATTCGTCAAAAAAAGTTATATTTGCGTTCAAAAAGATCGGCCAACTGCGAGAAAAGTTTGAAGTGGACTTGTCCATCCTCAGGCCAGGCTAGTCGTTTCTGCAGGCCAGTGAAAATATTAGGTAAATCTCCGATATTTCAACAAATTTATTTAACTAAAAGTAGAGAAGAGTGAGCTGAATCTTGAAAATATTATCCATCGGTGTCTATGACCTTGGGCCATCTCTCAGGTAACGTACGAATGCCGTCTCAAAGGAACCTCGCCTGACTTCGAGGCAACCAAGTCATCCTCCACGCCGAATTTATGTACATCACCTCCAACGTTCTGAATTGTTTATTCACTGAGGCGTGCCGCTGCACTGATCGGAACACGTGGTAGTGGAAAGCGAAGCCAAGTCTGGCGGATATGCCGCGTGTGGAAGAACTTCCCATCCCAACTTCAAGAGAATCTTCTGAGCCGCGCAAACAGCGTGAGGTGATCGAGGGTTGTCTAGCAGCAGCAGCAGCAGCAGAATGGCTTACCTGCTTCCTTGCCCAATAAATGGTCTTTTCTGACGATCAGTTTCCAGGATCTCGTAATGAAGTACACCCTCCATGCCCCACAAGATGCACAGGAGAGCCATCTTCGAGTGGATGTCCTGTTTCGACGTCGATTTACTGGGTTGCCAGGGATCTATCCACGACACCTTCTTACGTTTGGGATTCTCGTAAAAAATACACTTGTAATCACTCGTCACAATTTTCCACAAGAAGTCCTTTTTGTTGCCGGCGGACAAGCAGAGAAAGGCATGTGTTCATGCGTAGACCAAGGAGGATGTGTTGGGTCAACACATGGGGGGGTACCCAACTCCCAAGTTTTGGAATTTTTTATTCCATTCGGTGGTGTAAACGATTGGAAGTGATTCCTTGGATGGCTCCTAACTGAGCTGCAAGCTCTTGCTGCGTTTGCATTGAGTCTTCATCCAGTACAGCTTGCAATTCCGCACCTTCAAACCTTCGAGGCTGTTGTCCCGGGCGCGGCTGATCTTTAAGATCGAAGTCACCACTTCTACAACTTTTGGGCTAATTAGTACACGTTTTATAGGAGACATCTTCGGCACCAAGTACACTACAAATCGATTTCCGTGCTTTGGTAGCATTTATCTGTTACCTTCAGTTGGTACTCTGTTATCTTGCGTCCTGTCTTTTCAACACCACAAAAGTCCACGAAGAAGAAATCTGTGCAAGTTAACTCACACACACACAGTATTTTTGTTAAAAATTTTTCTTCCCTA